AATTACGGCGGAGGCCGAATCCGGCCGACATACTGTCGGATTGGGGATTGGTGGCTGTGTTTTTTTCTGTCCAAAGAGGAACAAAAGGCAGCGTATATGCTTAGCGAATGCTAACACCTAAAGCCCATTAGGCCCAGGACCACCGAGCAACCGAAACCTCACTGGGCCCAGTACTCGCACAATATCAATGGTACTAGTACCTCTGAACTTTTTCTCAATAAAACAAAAACCTCTAAACTAGTGGCGGACCTAGAGAGTATTTTGATGGGGGCAAACTACTTGAGTGGGGGCATGTTCTATAAAACTTCAAATAATTCAAGTATATTATTCAAAAATCACAAGCAAAACTCATTGAAATTTCAAATTTGAAGTGGGGGCCCACCTCTATATAGGTCCACCCCTGCTCTAAACTAAATATAAGACGCAACCTAAAGAATAAGATAAACATAAAATGTTTTGGCAGTTCAAATTTGAACTGCAAAAATGCCTTATATTTAGTTACGGAGGTAGTAGTTTATAAACCATACATCCAAAGATCCATCCGAAACACTGTGATCCTTGTCTTTACTTTTAAAAATAAAATGAGACCCCTATGAAATGTCCGTAAAAAAGTTCCCTTAAGAAATGTACAAATATAGAAAATAGGGGCAAAAAATACTAGATAATAAAACCACCTTTGTTAACTAAAAATGGCTATTGTATCTTAAAAAGGCAAAAAATGACCCAACATTTCATTTTATATTTTCTTAACTCGAAAGAATGCTCCTTACGAAAAAACAATTTCTGTTCGTGTGAAATGTTCATCTATCTCAAAGAGTTATACTGATAAGAATTTAATTATCTCAAAAATTTCTTGGAGAACAATATTCTGAGGATACAAAAAACGTTTCTAAATATAAGTCCTTTTAGAGATTTCAACACGAACTACATGCGGATGTATATAGACATATTTCAGAGTGTATGTAGTTCATATAGAAATCTTTAAAAAGACTGGGAGCAGACACAAGGGGATGCCGAAAGTCAAAAAAAAATGCAGATGCAGGGATCAACATTTAAGCTGCCTACCATAAACAGGACTAGATCATTGATGGCGCGCGTTGCCGCGCCCTTTTATTTTGCGTTAGAATAAGATATTTTTTGATAAATAATATGCATAAATAAATTGTTGAAAGATGGATATAATTTTTTTTCTTAAATTTGAAGGTGCAAATAGTTGAAAAGTATTGCACTACTCAACCGTACCAAGTTACAGAACCAGACAAACAATATTAGCAATCAACAAAGCAATATCTGTTCCCTCAAAAAAAAAGACAAAGCAATATCTGACATAGTAATACTAAGAAAGTTATACCCTAGTAACATGCCAGGCAAAAGAGCAGCAATATGTGCACCTGCTGAAAGATGTTGGTTGGTGTGCCCATCCATTTGTTCAATAAAATGGGAGAAATTTACATAAAAAATTTGAAGCATGAAACAACGAAGATAAACTATTATAGCCGGTAATAAGCTAATGGTTCTTTCCGCAACATAAAATAAAATAGGCTAATGGTTCCGATTCCTGAGACATATCGGGAAAAACTCGGAAATATTGTCCCATAGAGCATATATAATAATATTTTGAACCTTCATTTCATGAGTACAACTGGAAAGTAGTGACATCCAATGTCCTTGACAGTTGACACAAAAGATAAACATAATTTCAGTTGAAGACTATAGCAGAATTATGGTCGTTGATTCATCATCACTGCTAAAGTTAAAATTAGGTAACCAAATGAAACACAGAAGATTTTGTAAGACTACACAAACAACAACTGCTAATTAACATACAGACGTTCTATTACTTGTAAACCATATCATACATAAGGAGTAAAAGGGTGTGGAGTATAAGGAGTTGGTCTTGTACTCTCATTCATTGGAGTATACTATTCCTATTGGAGGGACTAACATTGCAAACAGAAGTGGTGAGGCATCCCTGGAGCTGCACGAGGAAGCATAAATTTGACCTTGCGGGGAAGCAATCAAATCAATTTACTTGTGAATAGTAATATTTGTCGGACAAACAATGCTTGCTAAGTTGCACTAACAGTCTAGCACTGAAAGTCAAAATTCATCTTGTACCTTTCACGGAGCTTGCAACAAACATGTAGTGTATTATTTGATCGGTGTCAGCATGCAAGTTCAACTCCCAGTCATTGTGAAGAAATCATATCAGCATAGCCACAAGGAAATGACGAACCAAAGTGTAAGCACTGAAACGAAAGGTAAAGCGAGAAAACTCACAGTATAACTGCTATCAGTTTTGCAGCAGAACAACTCTGTGGATCATTCTGCCCCTATTCAGGGGAAGAAGCACACCTAGATCAGTAAGGGTATGGAAATAAATTGGGTACCCTCAAGAATTCGCAAAAAAAGGCATGGCAACCAATCAACCATAGCATACAAATCTTCAGAATCAAGGGAACGCTAGCACAACCCTGTAAAGAAATGAGTAGTAGTAGACTGATCAACACACTGCCTTCTTCAGCTCTTTCCTGCGGCGTACAAACCTTGGACCGAAGCACAGTTTTAACCATGGACAAATCCATATGAACAGTCAGACATGCATCCCTATAAGCTATCTAATTTTGTACGTCCGTGCGTAGTTTTGCGTTTGCCATCTAGGAACCGGCCAGGACAACATAGGAGAGGCAGAGCTTATGGACGGAGGTGCGGACGTCCAAGATGAGGTGGAAACCGGCAGCCGCGGAGACAAACTCGAACGCAACGGCTGCGGTGGCGGCGCCGGCGGAGATGACTCGAGCTCGATGGCGGCGCCGGCGACTCGAGTCTCGTCGGAAGCAGCTCAAATCCGGCAACCTAAGTGGCGAAGGGAAAGTGGCGCCCGGAGGCCGGAGCTCGGGCCGGTGGCCTGTCGGCCTGATCGGCAACGGCGGTCGGGGCTGTGGCGCCATTTGTGTTTCCCGAACAGAGCATCGACTCGTTTCTTTGCGTGAAAGGGATAGGTCAGGATTTTTTTTTTTTTTTGAGACATGGTTAGGTCAGGATGGGAAGGGATGGATTGACGGGTGTGGGAGACGTGAACCGCTAGACGGGCCTCGCACGATCTACATGACCCAATCAACCAGGTTGCTCTGAAACGGTCACGGGAGCAGCGTCCCTAACTGACGTTGGCCCACATAGCGCGCCAGTGCGGGATCAGACGGCCAGCGACGTATAGATCAGAAAACTGACGGTCAGAAATGCAGGGTGCGTGAGAGGGCTGGGATTAGGCTCGGTTTTACTGTCCTTAATATGCACAGATGCTGCATGGAAAGCAACAAGACTCCTCAACCAACCAGTAATGGAAACACAAAAGCATTGCCGAAGCTCAGGGTCTAAAACTTGCAGCTACTTTGCTGTCAATTCCGTTGGGAAGCCAGAGGCCTATCAACAGACTTGCGTACCATCACAGATCCAGATTCAGCTCACTTCAGGTTTTCCATGTCTCAAGGGTCTATAACATTGAAGTTCACACTTCAGCTCAGCTGCTATCAATCAGGAAATTGTAGCTAGTCCTAGATTTAGCTGCAATAGTTCTGATCATTACGTCCTCTGATTCAGATTATCACAGATGTACTACAACTATAGGGAATTGTTATCCTCCATCTAAACTGTACGCAGATTGAATGAATGGCGCCTATAATTAGTCTCTCCTCGCCAAACAGAACTCGGATGAGTCAGACTCCCTGCCTACCATCCGGCTCAAATTCTGGCCATGTTGGTGTCTCCATTTCTGATAACATAAGCAGATTTGACCGTGTTGGTGTTAAAAAAACCTTCCATTTTTATCAATGACAATAGGCACAGGTGAAGGAACTCTGATGTGATCGGGGAGTGCATGTAGACTACTAAGCGTTATGATTAAATGAAACATCCAAAGTAATGGCAGGGCACTTACCCGTACGCACCATGCAAGGATTAACACGGTGTTCATACATACATGTTCCATCCAATTCACCAAATAAACACAACAACTTAATCAGCACTACCACTACCACTACTGCTACTACTACATCATTCCATCAGTTACTGGACTTGGCACTGCTAGCGGTTTACAAATGGCCAAATAACACCAACAAGCAAGAGCCACTACATGGAAGAGAACATGCAAATTAACACTAGCCAGAGACTGCAGTCTGCAGACCCCATCTAATATATATGTGGCAGGTGGGCTGGTGGACGGGCCATCTAATATGAAAGCACTCAAGTTGCACACATGCCAAATCAACCAACATGCGTGCATGTATGCCATCAAAAGGATCGGATGCGAGACTCAAGTCAACAAGCCAAACACAGGCAATTACTTGATGTATGTGTCATCCTTCCTTGCAATGATCAACCAGCGGCCAGGCAGACACAAAACAAGTCCATACGCAGCGGATTAAGCCCTGCAATAATAGCGTGTGATGTGATGAGAAACCAACCTCTCTTGTTACATAGATGAAACAAAAACATTTAGTTTCAGATACTGAATAGACACAAACGTTTATCACTAAGTTTGTTTGTCCCACATACATTTTATACTAGCGGAAAACACAAACGTACCCAGTGCCCTGTGCACCAAATGTGTCTTCAAACTTCTCTAATCAAATTAAATAACCTTGTAGTTGCAGTTCAAGGACAGAAATTTCACAGGGCATAAGCGTCAGCGTGACATTGGAAACACATGGATTTTTATTTAAAGCTAATCACCTAGCAACTTTGGATGCTATGCTAGGTAATACTCCCTCCGTACCTAAATATTTGTCTTTCTAGAGATTTCAACAAGTGACTACATACGGAGCAAAATGAGTGAATCTACACTCTAAAATATGTCTATATACATCTGTATGTGGTAGTCCATTTGAAATCTCTAAAAAGACAAATATTTAGAAACGGAGGGAGTACATTGCAGTATCGATCCTTTATATGGATGGCATGGACAATACAAGCAAAACATAAGAGCAAGCTTACTTACCCCTTCAAATAGTTGGTGGAGACAAGGATGGCGGGAAACCCACATACAGATGACCCTGCAATGGCATCATGAACTCCTTCCCACAGAACCGCTCAAGCTTCATAATCTGGAGATTCAGTGAAAAACAGTCCGTGCCTGGCATTTCATACGGGTCGTCTGGAAACCCTTGTAGGAGTAAGTATCCCCCAGCTGCACCAATGAAGGAGTAATAGCAGCAACCATGGCGCAATGTGACAACATCCCCAATTTGCCACTCCTTTGGGTCATCCCCAATGCTAACCAAAATGGTGTGCAAGAAGCGATTGTCGCTGAGAATAAGCATCCCAAGCCTCCCTTCCGTTGCCTCCACAAAGGCCACCTGGGAATTAAACCACGGAATAGGCGGGAGGTTGACGGAAGAGAAATCCATGGTACGAATGTCGAGCATGAGCAACTTGTTGATCCCGGGTATCGCCCAGCAGAAGCATCCGTGCACGTAGTAGCGCTTTCCGAATGCAGTGGCGGATCGCATATCATCGCCTTGACTAGTTTCCGCAATCAGAGCGCTCCAACCGTCAAATACGGTGGTGTGCCATTGTTGGGCAAGAGGGCCTGATGAGGAGAAGACGAAGAGGACCAGCTGGGCCTGGTATTTGGCCAAGCATATGACTCTGAAACTCATGGACGCGTCTGCAGCAGTGTCAGCACCGTCGTCTGTGGCGGCAGGAGCAAGAAAGAGCTGGCAGTGGTAGACCAGATCGGACAGGTCCTGGGGTACGGGAGGTAGCAGCAGGTAGCGCCGGTGCAGCGGGTCGCACACGGCCACGTCCCTCGCCAGGGTGCAGTCGTCGGGGGCGGCGCAGAGGAGGGCGCGGCCGTCACGGAAATCGCGAAGAGTCCAGGGCTGCTCGCGGGACGGGAGGAAGGAGCAGGAGAAGTCTGTGCCGGCGAGTGTTTGGGCGGCGGCGGCGGAGGGGTGGGGCGGCTGGGCTGGGAGGAAGGGGTTCAAGAGTATACCCAGGAGAGGCGGCGGGTGGAGGGTGCGGAAGCGACGGAGGAAGGCATGGTCGGCGATGAGGCGGCGGAGGGAGGGGCCGGCCATGGAAGCGCGGGCGAGGTCGGCGGCCGTGGGGACGCGGAGGAGGATCTCCTCCGCCAGGTGGTCCGGGAGGGTTGCCTGCGTCTCCACTGTCGGCGGGGAGTCGGGGCTGCAGGGCGGCGCCGCCGGGGCATCGGGGAAGGCTGGCGTCGGAGGGGCATCTGGGAAGGGCGGCGCCGGCGACTCCATTGGGGTGGGGTGGAGTGGAGTGGGGAGGAGGGGATGGGATTGTCGATTTGGGCTTTCGGTTTCCCGTTTCTCCTCTAGGAAGACGTACCCGCCTTTCCCCTTTTGCTTGTCCTCTCACTTTGACGTTTCCTTCAACTCATCAAAAAAACCAAAGCAAACTTCTCTATTTGCTTTGTAATAAATAAAAAATCACATTTACCCTAAAAAAATCACATACAATCTCTTCTCTCTTTTGTAAAAACACATATACTTCTTTTTTTGCGGGAAAGAGCGAACATATCAGCTAGAAATAGAATATAATCCATGTTCATGGCATCGGCAATTTCCAAAGGAAAAAAAATTCTAAGCCAGACTACTGTTTTCATTTGCTTCTCTAAGTCGTGACTCATTAAATTGGCTTCACGATTGAACTTAACAATAGATACACATCTTTCGTAAATAAGTTTACGAATAGTCTGGACGCGTGATGAGGATCGCCACATGTTCGAGGTCGCTGGGTTCACCAAGGAGATGGTTTTCGCATAGTCCATCTCCACAGGCAGAGGGAGCGATGAACAATGTAGTGCATCTTGCGAACGTAGTAGAAAACAAACAAAAATCGCTCTATGATCAACCAGGAACATCATGAAGATGCAATAAATGGTTTGGATTCGATTGTTACCGACTCTGAGTTGCAATGGAAGTACACGAGTCGGTGTAGATCGTACTTGAAGTCTCCCGAATCGTAGATGGCCATCCCGCGAACTGCCCACGAACAGTCCCTCATCAAAAAAACCGAAAGTACGGCCTCTCTACATATTGGAAGCGTACGGTCTACAGATTAAAGGAAAACACGTTTTTCCCGTTTCCGAGAGGCATGGCCGTACTTCTCGCGGAAGCAAATCCGTGTCTCTCACGGGAAAAACGCGTTTTTTCCGTTTCCGAGAGGCGCGGCCTCTCCCAGAAGGAAAAAAAAGATAACATATTTTTTTTCGTTTCCGAGAGGCACAACCTCTTCCATAAGGAAAAAAGAAAAAAAACATGTTTTTTTATGTTTCCGAGAGGCATGGGCGTGCTTCTCGCGGAAGGAAAAAAAAAGAAAACACGTTTTTTTTTCCGAGAGGCACGGCCGTGCTTGTCACGGGAGCAAATCTATGCCTCTCGCGGAAGCAAATTCGTGCTTCTCGCAGAAGGGAAAAACACGTTTTTTCATGCAAATAATATATTTTCACAATTATTTTTTGTCGAAAAGCTAAGGACTGGTGGAAAACGAAAGCCAAAAAAACCAAGAGAAACATCTAAAAAGCAGGGCTGCTCGCGGGACGGGAGGAAGGAGCAGGAGAAGTCGGTGCCGACGAGTGTTTGGGCGGCAGCGACGGAGGGGTGGGGCGGCTGGGCTGGGAGGAAGGGGTCCAAGAGTATACCCAGGAGAGGCGGTGGGTGGAGGGTGCGGAAGCGACGGAGGAAGGAATGGTCGGCGATGAGGCGGCGGAGGGAGGGGGCGGCCATGGAAGCGCGGGCAAGGTCGGCGGCCGTGGGGACGCGGAGGAGGATCTCCTCCGTCAGGTGGTCCGGTAGGGTTGCCTGCGTCTCCATTATCGGCGGGGAGTCGGGGCTGCAGGGCGGCGCCGCCGGGGCATCGGGGAAGGCTGGCGTCGGAGGGGCATCTAGGAAGGGCGGCGCCGGGGACGCCATTGGGGTGGAGTGGGGATGGGATGTCGATTTGGGCTTTCGGTATCCCGTCTCTGCTCTAGGGAGACGTACCCGCGTTTCCCCTTCTGCTCGTCCTCTCACACTTCGGCGTCTCCTTCAACTCATCAAAAATCGCATATACTTCTTTTTTAATCTATTTTTAAAAATTATTTAAACTTTAAAATATGCTAATTTGTTTCTTCTATGTGCGACCATTTTTTAATAAGTGGTAAACATTCTGTTTAATGTACAGAAACATTTCTTTACTATATGAACATGTTTTAATCCATGGTTTTTTTTACAAAAATATGTAAAAAGATGTTTCTTACATGAATATAAATTCATCGCGTACATCAACATTTTTAGTGCATTAACATTTTCTTATTTTTGTGTATGTGAACATTTTTTTATTTTTCGATAGTCAAAGGTGGTTCTTTTAGCAAAATTAGTTAAACCAAGAAAAACAATCCCATTTCCAGCTACACGTGTAAATAAGTATCGGCCAAAGGACCATGTGACACATGTGGTAAGCAATCCAACCAATTAAAAAAAATAAAAATAAAAACTATCGGCCAAAGGATATAAAAACAGAGGGACCAGGTTCAGACTTGCTCAATTCAACGCCTGAAGACTCATCAGGTGGAAATTGTGGCGACCCAAGAAGTTGACACAGAGCGTTTCATCAGCACACTGCTTCGTTTATGGTTGGGGTGAGAGAGTCTCCAACCGTAGACCTCGTCAGGATCACCACCACCCATTTTGTGATAGATATGCAGCTCTGTTATTAGCCGCGTGTATCGCAGTTGTATCCATTTCCTCAGTTGTTTGCTCGAGTACAAAGTTGTAGAGGCTCCTCGCCGGGAGCACGCGCTGGTGGTCATGTGTGATGTGTCCAGTACTTTATAATCTGTAGCTCATTCTGTTATATTCAAAATAATCAATAATCGACATGGATGTAGTACAGTCAAAATAGTACCATTATGCAGTGGTGCTACAATTCCTAATACAGTTTTATAAACGCACAGCGAGAACAGAGAGAACCTACCTATTCTTCGTCAGACATTCTTGAAACAAACCAGATAGCGTTAGAACTTAAGAAGCGCTTTCTGATTATTGGACTCGGCAATTCAACAGGGCAAGAATACCTTTTAGGCTGGATCCCGGCGAGTCTCCAAGCAAACATCATATGGTGAGCAATTGAAAATCTTAACCTGCACTGACAATGTGTACCCAAGTTCCTAACCTCACTTCAGAACCAACAGTATTCCTAGTGCTATATAAAGGCCAATTCAGATGTATACGATAATCTGGTAGGACTAGGGTTCCTACCAGGCCTCCGGCGTAGGTTGTATGGGCAAGGGGGAGGGGGACGGAGGCTGGAGCGGGCGCGCCGGCGGTCGGACGCCGTCGCGGCTAGGGTTGGGAGAGGCGGCTAGGGTTCCGGCTCCTTGGGGAGCCGGGCAACAGAAGATTATAATATCTTTATTGCTTGATCTCAAACGGTGTCTTACAACTAGTATTTATAACTTTAGCCTAAGATAACTTGCGGGACAAGCCCCTAATACTAATGCCCGGTGGGCCTCTTTCTGGCATAGACCTGACCGGTCATAACATCTCTCCCCGCCTGCGCAAACAGCTCGTCCTCGAGCTGAAAGTCTGGATAGTGTTGGCGGAATTCGTCACGCTGCTCCCAAGTAGCCTCCTCCTTCGGAAGGCCCGCCCACTGAACGAGGATGAACCAGACGCCACGACGGAGCTGCGCCTGCAACACCTTTGCTGGCTCAGGAAGAATGCGATCATCGGCGATTGGAGGAAGCGCCGGAGGAGCCGCCGGTGGCTCACCACGGAAAGGCTTGAGCAGCCCAACATGGAAGACGTCGTGGATGCGAGCGCGGGCCGGAAGCTGAAGACGATAGGCCACCTTCCCAATGCACTCCAAGATAGGGAAGGGCCCGGCGTAGCGAGGGCCGAGCTTGCGCTTCGCGCGCGGGTCGAGTGACTGCGTAGAGCGGTGGAGAAGACGCAGCCACAACCAATCACCCACCGCGAACTCCGCCTCGCGATGATGATCGTCGTAGTAGTGCTTGGCCAGCTGTTGTGCCTGAAGGAGACGCTGACGAACCTCAGCAAGCATCTCGTCATGACTGCGGATAAGGGCACTCGCAACCTCCGTCCGAGCCGTCTCCGGGTCCACCGGAAGTATAGGCGGGGGTGGGCGTCCATAGAACACCTGGTGACGGAGATCATCATGCGCCAGAACAAAGATCCGGCGCCCATGGAGAAGAAGTCCGTCAGAGAAGCGCCAAGGCTCCTCTAGGTCGCCGGCCGTGAGCTGCTGCTGAAGAAGGACAGCATCGTCGGCCGTCGCAGTGGCGCGGCGAATGTCGGCAAAGAGACCGAACGTCGGCCCGGAGCGGATGCATAGGGCCGCCCCGGTGGACTCGTCGGTGGAGGGAGCGAGGTCGGAGTCGCGACGGGACAGCGCGTCGGCCACGATGTTAAGACGTCCCGGCCAATACTCGACGGAGAAGTCGAAGCCGAAGAGCTTGCTGATCCACTAGTGCTGCGGCACGGTCGATAGCCGTTGGTCCAGCAAGAACTTCATGCTGTAGTGGTCCGTGCGAATGTGGAAGGATCGTCCCCACAAGTACGTCCGCCAATGACGAACGGCTTGTACGAGGCCAATGAGCTCCCACTCGTATGCCGCCAACTTGAGATGGCGCGGAGCGAAGGGCCGTCTAAAGAAAGCGAGGGGCCCATCGCCTTGATGAAGCACGACGCCGAACCCGGCGCCCGAGGCATCATAGTCCACCACAAACGGGCGGTCGAAGTCGGGCATCTGGAGGACGGGGCCCGTCGTGAGGGCCCCTTTGAGGGCCTCGAACGCCGTCGTCGCCTCGTCGTCCCAGGCGAAAGCGTCGCGGCGAAGCAACCGCGTGAGGGGCACCGCGATGAGCCCGAACTCCCTGATAAATTTCCGGTAGTAGCCGGCAAGGCCGAGGAACCCGCGGAGAGCCCACGGCGAGTGAGGCGTCGGCCATGCAGAGACGGCTGCCACCTTGTCGGCATCCATAGCCACCCGTCGGCCGAGATGAAATGGCCGAGGTAGGCGACGGTAGGTGTCCCGAACGAGCACTTCAAGCGCTTAAGGTGGAGGTGGTGCGCCCGAAGCTCGTTGAAGACAATGGCGGCGTGCTGGAGGTGCTCGGCCCAGGTGGCGCTGTAGATAAGAATGTCATCAAAGAAAACAAGCACAAACCGCCGTAAGTAGGGTCGAAGGACGTCGTTCATCAGGGCCTGGAAACTCGCCGGGGCGTTGGCGAGGCCGAAGGGCATCACCAAGAACTCGAAGTGGCCATGGTGGGTGCGAAACGCCGTCTTGGCGATGTCGTCTGGATGCATGCGCACCCGATGATAGCCTGAGCGGAGATCGAGCTTGGTGAAGAAGCGCGCCCCATGGAGCTCATCCAAGAGCTCGTCGACCACCGGTATAGGGAACTTGTCCTTGAGCGTGAGCGCGTTCAGGGCGCGGTAGTCGATGCAGAAACGGCACGTGCCGTCTGTCTTGCGGACGAGAAGCACCGGCGCGGAGAAGGGCGACGTGGAGATCCGGATGATGCCTGCCGCGAGCATAAGGGCACACTGTCGCTCCAACTCATCCTTCTGCAACTGCGGGTAGCGGTAGGGACGAACCGCCACAGGGGTGGAACCCGGTACGAGGTGAATATGGTGGTCGTACACCCGGGCAGGTGGAAGACCCCGTGGCTCGTCGAAGAGATCGCTGTGTTGCTGCAGAAGGGGATCCAGTAGGGGGTGCTCGGCCTCCTGAGACGCGGCAGCCAGCTGGAGGTGTGGCACGGCCGGCGCGGCGCCCCCAAGGCCGTCCCACTGGATGCGGCGGCCTAGCCGCCAAAACATCATCGTGAGCACGTCGAAGTCCCACAGGATGGGCCCGAGGGTCAGGAGGAAATCCACCCCGAGGATGAAGTCAAAGCAGCCGAGGTCGATCCCTGCACAGGTAATGGAGAAGTGCTCGCCACCGATGGAGATGGGAACGTCGCGGGCGAGCCCATGACACTGGAGGCGATCGCCGTTTGCCACCGTGATCCGCAGGCGCTCCCCGCTCGTGGTCGGCAGGGCTAGCCGACGCATGGTCGCCGCGGGCAGGAAATTATGGGTGGAGCCAGTATCCAGCAGGGCCACCAGCCGCTCGCCATGGATCGTCACCGGTAACAGCATGGTCCGCTCGCCACGGATGCCGGCGAGAGCGTGAAGGGAGACGACGCACGCCGTTGCCGTAGAATCCGCGGGCGCGTCTGCGGCCGCCGCGGTTGGTGGCTCAATGGTCGAGTCGTCCGCCTCGGTGTAGTCGACCGTCTCCATGTAAAATAGGCGGGGGCAGACATGGGTCGACGAGTAGGGCTCATCGCAGTTGAAGCAGAGGCCTTGACGGCGACGCTCCTGCTGCTCGGCCGGTGACAACCGACGGAAGGTCCGGGTGGTGGCTGGAGATGTGGTCGCCGGGGCTGGAGGAGGCCGGCCCGGTGATGGTGCGGGTCGGCTGGGAAGGCGGCCGCCCCGGCCGGCCGGTTGCTGCAGCGCCTGGGCCCGCTGCTCGAAGGCCCGGGCGTAGTACATGGCCGTCTGGAGATCGGGGGGATCCCGGAGCTTGACGTCCACGCGAATATGGTCCGGTAATCCGCCCACAAATAACTCGACGCGCTGAGTCGCGGAGACGCCCGGCGCATGGCATGCCAGGGCCTGGAAGCGGTCGGCGTAGTCCTGCACCGTGGATGTGAAAGGCAAGCGACCGAGGGCCGCTAGTCGGCTCCCGCGGATAGGAGGCCCGAACCGGAGGAGACAAAGCTCCCGGAAGCGCTCCCATGGTGGCATGCCGCCTTCGTCCTGCTCGAGGGCGTAGTACCAAGTCTGCGCCGCGCCTCGGAGATGATAGGACGCGAGCCAGGTGCGATCCGAAGCGAGCGACCGCTGCCCTCGAAAAAACTGCTCGCACTGGTTGAGCCAGTTGAGGGGGTCCTCCGTGCCGTCGTAAGTGGCGAAATCCAGTTTGGCGAAGCGAGGGGGTGTCGGACCACCGTGCCCGGGGGTTGCAGTAAACGGTAGCGCGTGTGCTGGGTCGGGTATCTCTGGAGCGTAGTTCGCCGAGCTGGAGGGACGATCAAATCGGAGAGAGGGCATCACGTGTTCCGGCGCCGTAGTATACACCGGGTCCGGAGACGAGCCGGCCGCCCACGCGGGAATCGGCGATGGCGAGGGCGGAAACTACACCTGGTGCAGGGGCCGACCTGTAGGCCGGGACGCGGGTGGTGGTGCTGGCGATGGTGGCGGCGCCTGGTGGTGCGGCTGTACCGGCGCCTGCGTCGTGGGGGCCGGCGGTGGCGCCGGGAGGGACTGCTGAGGCGGGCCCCCCAGCGATGCGGCGGTGGTCGGCCACGCTGGCCAAGGCGTTCCCGCGGCCGGGTAGTGCGGCAGCAGGAGCGGCGGCGGGGGCGCCCCTCCGTAGGGCGCCTGGAAGGCCGGGGCGGGCCACTGTAGCGGCGGCGGCCCATAGGCGGTGGTGGCGGCGTTCGGTGGCGGGGGCTGGTGCCCGGCGAGGTAGAGGCTGATGCCTCGGACGGCGTGGACGAGCTCCCGCAGGGTGCCCGACATCTCCTCGGGCATGAGGAGCGGGGGCGGATCCGCCGTGGTGGTGACCGGCGCTGGCGCGGTGGTGGTGACGGTCCCGGACGTGATCGCCGTCATCGGCGAGGAGGTGGCCGGCGGCAACAGTGGTGGGGCGGAGGTGGATGGCAGCGGCGTCGGTGATGGAGGAAGCGACATGATCGGCCTGGTGTCTCTGGATACCAAATTGGTAGGACTAGGGTTCCTACCAGGCCTCCGGCGTAGGTTGTATGGGCAAGGGGGAGGGGACGGAGGCTGGAGCGGGCGCGCCGGCGGTCGGGCGCCGTCGCGGCTAGGGTTGGGAGAGGCGGCTAGGGTTCCGGCTCCTTGAGGAGCCGGGCAACAGAAGATTATAATATCTTTATTGCTTGATCTCAAACGGTGTCTTACAACTAGTATTTATAACTTTAGCCTAAGATAACTTGCCTAAGATAACTTGCGGGACAAGCCCCTAATACTAATGCCCGGTGGGCCTCTTTCTGGCATAGACCTGACCGGTCATAACATAATCACTAAATAACAGTGCATGTATTTACAAGTCAAAAATATATAGCAAACGTTGAGTTATCAAGTTATACCAAAGTCATTCAGAGACCGACGGACAGACATAGAGAAAACTGAGTCAACAAGACAACAAGTAACCTCTCCTGGGCAAAGCACCCAAAGGAAATACTGGCATAATTTAGACCCAAAAGGAACTGACAGTGCCAGGGAAGAGAGATGCCTTGCCAGTTCCAAAAAAAATTACAATCATACAACATCCCATAGGTAAATAAGCGGAAAATACAAGTACTAATTGTTCGAACAAGATCTCTTTCAGGGGATAAAACAGTAGTACGTGTTTGAATCACTTTCTGATTACTGATCTTGTAACTCAGCGCAGCAACAACATTCATGTAGGCGTATGATCTGTCTTGCGAGACAATAGTTCTACTCCAAGTTATCTCTCTTCTCCATCCGTCTGTATGTGCTGGAAGAATTCCGCAAAGAAACCATACACGATCAACACCAGAAGAAAGCCAAACATGGCCTGTATTTTTTCTCCCTCAAAATATATCCGAGGGGTACAGTCAGTACCACCAACCTTTGCAGACAGCATATCCTCCAAGCCTTTGGGAACAGTAGTTCAATCTTTGCAGACATACTTCCATGTCTTGGGCTTCAGCAGCATAGGCCTTGGCTTATCTGCACAGAGTATTAATGTAAAAACTTGCACTTAAGGAAACATCATTAAAGAAATGGAGAATTTAGATAAGGGAATATTTAACTTGCTCTAGTCTTCTGTCGTACTACTAGTGATGCTATCATCATTTTCTAACTAGCACATTTAACACTCACTAGTAAGTTATAATAGAGAAGGTAATTGATGCGTGCTTACTTCCATAAAGATGGGCATCAACGTATTCCTGCTGGATGCTGCCAAGGCATTGCTGCAGGCTTGCAGGGAGCGTCTTCAGACCAGGGCATTTAGCAATCAAGAGATGTTGGAGAGATGAGTATGCTTGCGACCCATCTGGTAGGGATTTCAGGGTCATGCAATCCCAAAGGTCGAGGGACTCCAACGACAGGAGCTTGGGAAAATATCCTGTGAAGCATAGGCTTAGGTGCACCCCCTTATCTAGCCATCCATCTCTGCATCGCGATTCGTGCAAGAACTTTTTTCTTTTTTGTTTCTTCCAAATAAAACAACATATGAACTTAAAACTTTTGCAAGATAGCAAAACATTCTTACTACAATGAGAGAAAAAACTTTCAGATTTTTTCATACATCATAAGTATTAAAAATAACATTTTTTTAATAAAGAAAATCTCATTTTGTATATTAATATCCGTCAAAAAAATCTATAAGTTTTTTCTCTCATTGTAGTAAGAATGTTTTGCTATTTTGCAAAGTTTGAAGTTCATATGTTGTTTTATTTGGAAGCAACAAAAAAGAGAAATTTTTACGCAGTAAGTTAGTTGTCTAGCACGGATCTCAAAGCTATATTGGAGGGTATGGATAGAGAGTGTCCATGAGCCTATGCTCTAAAAATCCATGTCCGCTAGGAGCTCGGGAGAGCGGGATTCCAGAGATGCCAACCCACCACATTTAAAAATGTCTAGTCTCTTGAGGGACGGGGGCAAAAAGAGGACCCCTGTTAAGCCATGACAATTGTGTAATGATAATCTTTCTATACTGGCTGTTGACCCTTGATGAATCAATGATACTGACTGTCCCTGCTGCTGCTTCCTGCCGGATATGGACTCAAGCTTACTGCAATTAGAAATGTACATTTTTCTGAGAGAAGCAGGGACGTTGAAGAGCTCAACCAAGTTTCCACAACTCTGTATCGTTAGAGATTCTAGACGTGGCAGGAGCTGACTGGTTTCTGATGATGTTGATGGCTCAGCAGAAGCTTGTGCATATCCAGTCAGATTATTGCAGTCCACAATCTGAAGCTTCCTCAAGGATACCAATCCTTCGAACAATGATTCTGGCCAGTGGACGAGCGCATCGCAGCTCCAAATTGACAACTCTTGAAGGCGTACAAAGCATGCACACAGCTCTGTTACACTTACACCTGACTTAAAGTCTCTTAACACCAAAACTTCTAGAGGAAAGCCTTGATCATTTCCATTCTCCTTGCCGTTCACCAATTCCCTCAAACTATTCTCAGCCCCCATCGAGGTTGTATCTGTACTCTGTTCAATGCTAGTCAGTTCCAGATTGGTCAATGATGTCATATGTCTCGCTACCCACAATAACAACTCTACCTCGCGTCCTTCCATCTTCAATACACCGAGCTTTGGTGATTTAGCTATAGTTGTCAACTCTGGACAATTCATAATATGAACATTCTGGAGTTTAGGGAAGGTCGGATGTCCTGGCAATGCTTTCAACTTTACACAGTCGCTAATATGCAGCTTCTCAAGTAGAGGAAACATCACCAACTCTCCTTGCATCCCATCATTATCTTTTTCCCACCATCTCTCCAAACAAACAAGACCTTTTATCATAAGCTCCTTCAGATTTGGAAATGCAAACGATGTATCACACTCACCGCTTAACAACCATACTAGTTTTCTACAGCTAAAAAGATGGATCTCAACAATGTTTTGCAACATAGTCATCCATGTTGGGAAGGTGGTGGCTCCATATGACTGTATCCCTATGGCATGTAGTCCATCATGAGGTTCGAGATTCTCGAGCACTTTTGCATCCTCTTCATTATCCCGCCAGCTAGTAATACCTTGAAAATAATTCCATCTAAAGGTCCATGTTAATCTCAATTCTCTTAGCTCCTTGTTCACAAGGTTTGCTGCTTTTGCATCCACTTCTGTCACGTTTGCCAGATTACGTAGCTTTAGTTGACCACCAAGGTTTAAATTTCCAAGCTCTCCAACATTACTACAATTAGGCTCACTACCTGCTATAAAGCATGTAAGTGTCTGAAGAGATGTGAGTTTCCTGAGGTCTTTGGGCATGCACTTAAGCCGTGAACAACCATGAGTGTAAAGGTGACGAAGGGAAGTCATATACTTCATTTGTCTTGGAAGTCTACAAATAGATTCACATCCAGCGAGGTTCAGCGTTTGAAGGTTGTATAGAATGCTCACATCTTCAGGAAGTGCTTTGATATACCTACTTCTTGAGAGATCTAGGTACCTCAGGTGATGTAGATGCTTTGGTTTCAGCTGAAATGATCTTCTCTATGAACAGAGCTGAAATGCTTGCAAAGAGCTGCATTTTGCTAGATGTTGCAACGAACTTTCCGTATGCCCATCACATAGAAGAGTTTGGATAGCTGGAGAGCTATTCTCTAGAGAACTATTCAATTTTCTTTCTGGTTCCTTGCGTGACAAAAATAAATGACGAGCAGTGTTTGGAATTGTTTCCTCAGTTGCGACAACAGATTCAATTTTGCCTTGTTCGTCAGTTGCCAAGACACATTCCTTTCCCATTACAGACAGTGCAACATCATGCATAAGATCGTGAATTTTGCATGTAGTTCTGGAATAACATGACCAACTGTCTTCAAGTTCCTTGACCGTGGCTTGGACTTGTTCCACATCCTGAAAGAATGACCTTGAGGCCAGCTCATTGAAAATCTGTTTGCCAATGGTTTCAAGACGAACTTGCTTTTCCTGGATTAAGTCATGTGCAATCCATAGTTGGATCAGCTTGTCCACATCAATCTTGTGATCTTTGGGAAATATTGCACAAAAAGCAAAACATTGCTTCATACGCGACGACAAGTCGTTGTAACTGAGCTTGAGTATTGGTAAGATTCCATTCTCCTCGGTGCAAATGCTGCTTCTGCTTAATACAGTCTCCCATTCTTCCTTACTGGTCTTGGTAGACAGCATGGAGCCCAGTGCCGTTGCAGCTAAAGGAGAGCCAGAACATCTCCCCACAATTTTATCAACCATATTCACCAACTCTGCAGACCTTTCCTCTTCCTTCTTGAAATGGCTGAATGCTGTTGTCTCGATAATTTCCTTTATGTATTGATCTTTCAAAGCTGTGAGATTATACGCTTCAACAGTACGCATAATATCAGCAACTCCGCCATCACGAGTTGTTGCCAAAACCACACTACCCATGCCACCATGTTGAAGTCGGGCCTTAAGCTGTTTCCATTTATAAACCTCTTTATTCCAGACATCATCCAGTACAAGGAGGTACCTTTGCCCGCTGACCAAGTCCTGAAGTTTATCCAGTGGTGTTTTCTTCTTCTTGGGAGCGGTTTCTTTTGTGCCATCATCCTTCTTCTTGGGAGCGGTTTCTTTTGTGCCATCATCCTTCTTCTCAGGAGCTGCTTCAACTATTCTTGTAGCCAGAGAATCCACATCAAAGTTGTCAGAGACGCACACCCATAGCAGCAAATCAAAGTGCTTCTGAATTTCAGGTACATTGTAGATAACTTGTGCAAACGTGGTCTTGCCCAGACCCCCCATTCCAACGATGGGAATAACTGTGAGACTTTCATTGTTACCTTGCACAACTAGTCTACTAACAATTTCAGTCTTATCATTGGCTCTGGATTCATTGATGATTTCCTTGATTTCCTCTGGGTCAGCGATAGCATGGTCTGTCCGCCGCAATTGACTGGATACCGGCGGTTGTTGTTGATACTTAAAGCCAAAGGCATTCATTTCAGTCACAAGGACCTCGATGGCCTGCACAATCTTGCAGAGCTTTCTTCCCATCCTGTTATGGAACACAAAACGGTTGTGAGTGGGAAAGAGTTTTACCACATCGAAGCCAAGCTCCTTGTAGTGCCCCTTCCTTTTTGCTTCACGACGAAGTGCCTCGTACTTGAACTCGTCGAAGACTTCATTCGCCTCGTAAGCCACCTTCTTGACGGCCTGGAGCCAGGCCGCTGCCCCTTCTCTGTGGGCTGCCGCCTGCTCGGCGTCAGTGATGATGTCGAGGATGGCAGGCAGTTTGCGCATCAGGATCTCATGTTGCTCCTCCATGCCCTTCATGACCTTGTACTGGTCAAGGAGGTAGCTGGACGCCTTCTCCTTCACAATGGAGAGAAGCGGTCCGACCACCATGGTGGCCACCAGCTCCGCCATTGGAGCGCCAAGGACGGGCCTCACAAGAGAACACAGAGAAGAACACGTACAGTGCAAGGTGGAGAAGACAATGGCTTGCTTGCTTGCTTGCAAGGACAATGGAGGCCGATGCTAGCTAGTATTGACTTTCAGGGAGAGGTACATGAGGATGCGTTTGGTTTCATTGATTGATCCCGTCCACTGCCCCACAATATAGAAACTGACAGTTGTACACTTGTAGTACACAATAATGCTAGTTTTGTTGAATGTCAGGGAACATGTGAATGTGTTTCCTTATGGATTAGTTGCATCCACTACCACAATATATAGTGATGATTATACAGCTGTACTTAATAAGGTAATACTACTTTCAAACAGCTTGATCGATTCAGCATGTTTCAGTACTAGCTTGTTTTCTCGGTGCCCAGCAGCAGCCCCAGCAACGCCCTCTGCTCCCTCGTCGAAAGGAACTTTGCCGTCAAACAGCTCCCTTCAGTCAGGATGCGCCATCGATGTGTCCCCAGGCACTTGGTTGGGGGGCTACAGGTATCTGTAAGTGCGACAGTGCTGCTGCCTGCTGTGCAGGACCGGCCGCATCAAGTTCGCTAGTCATGTAAACAGGGCTTCTCATTTCTCTGAAGGAGAAGTCGATGCTGTGGCACACAAGAGACAACTTGCATCACATGCTAGCATTGGGATTTGGCTAAGATATAACTTGTGTACACTGATCTCGATCGATGCTACTCCCTCTGGAAACAAATATAAGAGCGTTTAGAACACTATTTTAGTGATGTAAACGCTCTTACATTTCTTTACGGAGGGAGTACAAACTAACCCCATGTGAGAACACGTTAGCACCCAGCTAATCCACGTCCGGTTAGCGTGAACGACGGGTTAATGTGTTTCTTAATTATTAGGACCTGTACAGGTCCCCAGGTCTTGTCATCTGGTAGCCATGTCTCCTTTCACAATGTCTGCATCATATTCAATCATTAACTAGCAGAGCCAAGCAATGACAAAGGTTTTCGTTGTTGGTGGTAATTAAGTTATTTCTGACGTGTTATCAATGGTAAGCTTCCAGGGCAGCAATCACGAATTTCAACCATAGATCAAGAGATCTATTTTTTGGATCAATAGGCCAACGGCCCTGTTCTAATTTTTTCTAGCTGGAATTATTGACTTCTGACTCAAACGGCATGTGTAATTTACAGTTGTGTAGTTCTGAAAACAGAGAACCATCCGTAGGATATTTATCTTTCCCTACTAATAAAGCAGAGAGTGCTTCTGGTCGTCCGTCGTCGTCAAGTTGTAAAAAAGTCCCTGTGATTTTCTATAATCAACCCGCGGTCCTTTTTAAAGTGAGAAAAACGGTTCGAGCCCAGATCTGGCCCGCCCAGCCCGAGTGCCGCCGCACATACGCCGCCACCACCAGCCTCGCAGAGCTCCCGACCCCGAACTCCTCCTCCTGTGCACCTCCTCATCGGCCTCCTCGCCCGTCGTCCGGTGACCGGCGTCGCCGCCGAAGACCACCTATGTCACGCCGCCGCTCCACTGCCTTTTCTCTCTCCCCTCTCTCTCTCTCTCTCTAATCTCCTTGCCTCCTTCTCTCCAGGAGCACAGTGCCAGCACCATGGACCCCCATGCCCATTGCTCGAGCTCACCTTGGAGGTTCGAACGCCGCCACGGGACCTCCACCGGCCAGATCCGGCGCCTCCCTCCCGGATCCATGCGCCCTGCACCTCCTCTACCCGATCTGGCGCCGCCCAACCTGCCATGACCTCCACCATGGAGCTCCTGTAGCTCGTCCCCTGCCTCCTCTTCATGTGCTCGAGGGAGACGCGCCTCCAGCGCATCGAGCACAAGGCGCAACCGCGCCAAGGTCTACCCCGGCCACCTCTGCGTCCAGCCGGCCTACCCCGGGTAATGCTCGATCCAGTTGGGATGTGTACTAGCAGGTTCCCGACAACTATATTATACTCTTCGGTTGGGATTAGCTTTTGCTGTTACTGACGAGAATCAGTACAACTATGATGGACTGCTTTTCTAGAGCTAGAGCACTACAAAAGTAGAGATGGTCTTTCACGGCTACACAATTGGAATTGATCTCTGTTCATTCATAAATCATAATTAGTGTAGTTCAAGCAGAGTGTTAGGGCCATTGTAGTTTGTCTCATTAAATCAAGACTTCAATTATTAAATAATATTACAACTTATATGTAGATAACTTTTATTAACTTGATTTTCTATTTTGCAGGTCCCTGCAGTTATTTGTCATTGGATACTTTAGAAACATTCTGTAAATTGGTATCAGTTGCACACTTTTTGTTTATCTCCGTATCTATGATGATTACCCACTCCAAAGCATCCCCGCGTTAATCTGGAATAAAAGGAGAAGAGCAGAACCAGGATTTTTATTCAATGGTGGTTGATTAGTATGTATGATCCAATCAAATGTGTCCAGCTGTCCTCGTGTTCATCTCCAACCTTTGAAACTCAGTTTTCAAGTTTAGAAATCCAATATGTATATTCCAGTACATGATTTTATTTTATGATGGTTTATTTAGTAGGAATGATCTAATCAAACATGTCCAACTCTCCTGACAGTGTTCCTCTCCAACCATTGAGGCTCAGTTTCCAAGTTCTGACTTAGCATCAATCCATCATGTAAATTCCCAGTACATGACTTTATCTCGCAGTGGTTAATTTAGCAAAGGAGTTGTACCCCGTTGTTTCAAGCGGGTCAGGCGCCGCCTCTGTCTGCGAGGCTTCCACAAGTAATATAGTGGCGGCCTGGCGCCGCAAAAATTTGCTACCTCGACGCCATTCAACTTCCTCACCAGTCGCTCCTATGCCCACTCACAGGCAAGTAAAACTTTGCATCCTTCAATAATCTGCTATTGATCAAATACTCGTATAATCTATCTCAAGTATCACAGTCCAGATCATTAATGTATTGTTTGTGTTTCTATCATGCTAGATTTTGT